ATTATCTGACTGGCGTGGTAAACAAACACAGCTGTTTGTAGATTCACGTGACAGCAGCGTCACATGACACTTCAGCGTGAGCCTAGTGTTTCCACCTACATTTCAAATGGAGAATGATTCGTTATACACATTCTGCACTTTGATATATCCATTAGTCGGATTTCATTTGAATGACCCTCAATTATTTTCCAGACATGTACAGTACCAATTTTCTGCCCAGTACGTTACTAAGAAATTTCAATTTGCAAAATAGCAGCAAGATGAATCATCATCGGATAGTTCGAATTATTGCCTACATTTAAGAGGGTGCCTGATTACAGGATATTCCAGATTATCAGGTGCCCAATTAATTAACTTCTACTGAATTTTAAATTAAAATAAGAATTGTCTGTTTATTTGCCTAACACGTAAATAAGAAAATTAGTAGAAAAATTTCAGTATATATGAAAAAACATTTTGTTTTATACAGTACTTAAGAATATAATTATTAGCTAAATTTTACAATAACTTTTACTTATTAGATAAATGACACAGATTAGATATGGAATACAAATATCATAAAGACATTATTGACAGTCTTTGCTTTTTAAAATCTTATTATAAAAATTTACAATAATATTTTGTATTGTTTTATATAAATAACGAAAATTACATTCTAAGTTAGAAGTTTGATCTAAGTTCAGTTTTTTCTTTAAATTTTCAACTCAGTTCAAAGGCTTTTTTTGGTAAGCAGTTTCCAACAAACTTTAATTTTTTTCTATTTGTGAAAATTTCTACGTAATTCAAAAGATAATTTTTAATTAATTCACTTTTTCTCAAATTCCGGGAAAGCAAAGAACCTGTAAATGAAAAACCCTAATACATTGTATAAGCTATACGAATGTTTTTACATTCGATTTAATAAATGAAATTTTCACATAAGCAGAAATTTCGCTCTTGTTTTTCCTACATCTGTAATATTAAACTGATGTGAACCAAATGATGTATAATTTTAGTCTTTAATCGATTCTACATACAAAGTGATCTAAATGTAAATAATGAGGTTAAAAATTCAGCAAAATAACTATAAATGATGCATGTGATTGTTTTGTCCCTTTGCTTATTAATTAATAAAAGTATATTAATACAAGCAAATTTACATTTTCTTTAATCCGTTACGATAATTTTATTAGCAAATTGTGTATAGTTTTTAGAAGCATAATGTGTTCATTGCATCATTTCACACTATAGCAACAAAACTAACAATAGTAGCAACAAAAAATAACAATCTTTTGTTCTAGTAAATAGAAATTTTTCGTAGTATATGTAACAGGTTTTACAGATTTAATTATAGGCGATTTTGGTCNAAACTTGTTTTACTAGAATTAATCATATAACTGACAATATTAGACTCTTATTTCCATTTCATCATTTTTTGTATTTTCATTTTGTTTAAATTAAGAGATAATTCAATGTAATAATTTAGTGTAATCTCATTCTGTTTTATGATTTTAACTACTTTCTTTTGAAATGTACATGACTTTCAAATTTTTCAGTTTACTAAATTAAACTTTCTATTATGAGATTTTTGCTGTATCATGAGTTTACTCTCTAATTTTTTTCCTTCGATTTTAAGATATTGTATTCATAAGATTCATTCAGAAGATATTCTTCTGAATGAATCTTATGAATATCTTCTGAATGAAACTTTTTTAAAAATAAATTTTTTTTATGAATAAGATCACTTGTATTCCAAGATTATTATTTAAGAGTTACATATTTCTATATGAATTTGATAAATTAAATATACTATACAGAAACTATAAATATGTAATGTTATAAATTATTATAAGTGTAACAATAATACTACAGACAAATTTTACTTTCAGAAATTTAATCATAAAAAGAGGTCAATAACAATTCTGATGGTTTGTCAATGAATAATTAAAATTAGTCAGATTTGATTATCTATACAACCATCTGAATTGTTAAATTGTGAATTAGTTTTAAACTTTTATAAAAGCTGCTTTAAATATATTAGTTTTAAATTATCAGTTTTAATCGTTATTTAAAATTGGTTTGCTTAATAGTAATCAACATTCTTTGTGTGCACATCAAGCAAAACTGATTTAATAATTAAAAACAAACTTTGATAATGTATTCAAAGGATGATTGGAAAAGTGAATTATTTAAATTCCATAATAACATTTGAAAAAATGCAGTTCAAACTGTTTTTTATCACTCTAAAGGTATAGTTTCAAAATAAATTGTGCCAGATTTGAAACTATTATTAAATATAACACACATTAATTTTAGCTACTCTTAAATCATATAAAGAAATGAAAAGATAAGGATAATATAAATATAAAACTATTACATCATAACTCAAAAAGGAAAAAACTAATATATATTAGCTAGGAAATATTTATATTATTTTTGTAAACCTTATATTTTTGTGAAATGTTATATATATAACTTTCTAACTTATTTTTAAAGTGTCCCTGTTTAACCAACATGTAGTTATTGATAGATAGACACTTGAAAAAATATATATTCACATTTGAAGTGTGTGGGTTTAAAACAAGGTGCCATTTCCATTAGTACATTATAATTACAGTGACCATATTTTTTGGGGGAAAATAAAGGACATATCGAAGAAAATTAAAAAATATCTTATAAAATTCATAAGTTTATAACATTTATTACGAAAATAGTAGCATACAACAATGCATACATTAAAATTTTAAACAATCTGAATTATTACAATACACACATTGTAAAAATTTAAATAACATTAATTTTGATACTTTTCAGTAGAATTAATTTTTTTATAGCACCGTTTCACACTTTAAAGTCATATAATTCCATACAGTTCATTTTGAAAGTTGTATTTGATGGAAATACATGCTTTTAATGTGCTTACGTTTAAATCAGTTTTTTCATTCGTCCACATATTATTCACCAATGAAAATATTCGTTCAACGGGGGCATTAGATCCAGGGAGACAAAGAAAATTCTACGATTTTACAAATGTTTTTGAAAACAATTTCTTTTGCTGTAAAATGTTCAAAAATCTCAATCCACCTTTGATGGCAGGGCTGGTTATTCTGTCACCATTCGTCGATCTTTTCGTTTGTGACATATTTTTTTACACATGAAACTTCATCAAATAATTCACCGTCGAGTATATTTACGGACCAATGATTCGAAATAAAGATATAGCTTTCCTCTACTTTCGCCCACAAAGGGATTTCGCATAATGTGACCCATTCAAACACCTCTATTTCAATAAAAAACATGTCCCAATTATTTAGATAATCTATGCACGTTTGATAAAATGTGTACACAGCATCATTGAATTTTTTGGCTTGTATATTTTCTGATTTTTCTAATGCTAAAACCACTTTTCTAATAACAATAGGAAGAAACCCCTCATTTTTTCTTTCAACTAACTTCAGCTTTAATTAATAAATGTATCATCCATCAACTAGAGAGTTAAAAACTATCACAAAAATCCCCATAAGAGTGTCCACCCCCTGGTACTGTCAGTGGGCCGTTTGGTTGGTGACACACTGCACTACTGCGCTCTATGTAGCAATGCAACACTGGTCGTGATGGCATATACAAAACTAACTTGTTCAATATATTATTAAAAAAANGACACACTGCACTACTGCGCTCTATGTAGCAATGCAACACTGGTCGTGATGGCATATACAAAACTAACTTGTTCAATATATTATTAAAAAAAATTTTTTAAACTTTGCGTCAACTTTACAAAATAAAGGACACAATGCCTATTTTTGAAAATAAATAAAGTTAAAAGACAGAGCAGTGAAATAAAGGACTGTCCTCTTAAATAAAGGACGTATGGTCACTGTAATTATAATGCATGTTAACAGCTAAACAGCAATGTATTTCAATTTAAATATTATATGTACTTTTTAACTATAACACACATCATATTATGATTAAAGTAAACAAAGAAGAAAACTTCTCAAGTTTAATTTTTCCATTTTCTCTAAGCTTTATGGCACCATATTTACACCCAAACCCCTAATTTATTGCATTTATATGTATATATAATAAATATTTCAGTTGTGATTTATATACCTGTAATTAATTTGAATTCTACCAATCAATAATATATATTTTTTTATTAGTAATGCTCAACATTTTATTTAAAAAAACTATATTCTAAACAAAGTCGACAATACTTGACAAAACAGTTCAAAATCAAAATAAAACAACTATGAGTCATTACTTTAACATTTTTAAATTATGATTTATACAACAACACATTTCCAAAAATAACTGAGCATTTGAATATAATCATACAGTATGAATAAAATGATAAAGTTGTTTAAAGTATTTTTACATTAAATCTACTAAATACACAATTCATTTATAATGAATCTTAAATAATGTATATTTAGCCCAAAGTTAAACAAAAAGGAAAAACAAACCTGTGTAAAAGAAAAAAATCAAAAAGTATTTCTTTGTTTTTTGTAAGTAAGAATTTTATAAACAAGAATCAAAGATCAGGTTAAGGGACAAAAAATCTGCACCTAAACTGATAAGCATTTTCAAATCTCAGTTACTATTTTTAACATAAAATCTGTTTTGTATCTAATAAATGACATCAACTGTCAAATTAACAAAATCACTTTTTAAATTAAAATTTTAACAAATCAAATTGATAAAGTATTATTTTTAAACAATTTATCTGTTGTATAACAACTCATTTTGAAATAATTACTAAGTGAACAGAATCTGAGATAGACAAAGGACAATTCAAATTATTCATACACAATATATTTAAACAAATAAACTACTGTTTAAATTAATATTTAAATAATAAATGAAATGTAATTATAAAAATAATTTGAGCATTCACACGATTGAGTGGTGTAAATTAACTGCGCTAATCGAATATTTATGTGTTTAACTCAATATTACATCGTTAAATCTCGTTATTTTTATATATTAAACGGTAGCTTTTACTTATTACTAAATAATACCTTTGTGAAAGGATCTAACTCCATAATTTCTGATCGAATAGCAAGATTATCTTTAAAATGCTTCTTAACGTCTGAAATTTAAACTTCCCCCGCTAAACACTGACGCGTGCGCAATCGGATAAGCTTTCCTAGAACTCTCAAAGCTTCCGGTCACATGACGTCCTCTAGTGGTCAATGACGTCTTAAAATAAAATACGGTATTTGTTTTTTAAAATGTGTACAGTATTTAATTTAAACATTGTAAATTTTATTTTTAAAAAATTTTTAAATTAACGGTAAATTTAATAATTTTTTTACTAAGATGTAATTAAAAAAATATTTTTTTTCTTTTTTTTACGTTTAATCTTGAAATCTGTTTTCAGTTAAAAATCATTTAAACTCGTTATATTTAGACAATTATTAAACATTCATAACGTAAACTTTATCGTTCAAAAATTAAATCGTTCTTAAAATCAGATATCGTTATCTTATAAACTGTTTAAATCATTACATTTCATCACAAATAATAATAAAACAAACAGTTATCACTTAAACAATCGTGTTTATTATAGTTGATTAGTAAATTGATGTCGATTTATTATTTTTCGTTTGTTTTCGACAAACGAAATTTGCCATCAAAAGCGGAGCAGCCGCAATCACTTTCTCTCTCTGTGAAGGATCCGGGTTCGTGTTTGTGTCGGACCTGCAGAACTTTTTATGTCTAGTTCAGCAGCATCGGGCTCATCCTCGTTACCCGACGCATTGTTGTAGGTCAGACGCGCCCGTACATTGGGACATTTGGTGAATGTGTGCCCCCTCTTTGTCACTGAGTTGTCCTTTTCTTAATCCCCAAGGGAGATCTAAGGTTTCAATTTATTTTTAAATTAGTTACTCATTTGTATTACAAAAAAGATTTTTTACTGGCGACAAAATGTACTGTAAGTTCGCACGATGTTCTTTTTCGTAGTCTTCAGGAGTCCCTGTTGTGGGTCTGTACGTACTGTACTTGCAAAAGGGCCTTTTAATGTCTTCAAGACAAAGTTATTAAAAAATAATAATAAAATAAGCTGATAAGTCGTGTCGCCATCTGTTGTCAGAAAGATTAAGTTATTTTAATATTTTTGCTTTTTTTTCTCTCTCTCTCTCTCTATAATGCTATTAGTCTAAATGTATTAAGACGAAGACATTCTGTTGTTAATGCTTTATGATATAAATCATAATAGTTTATTAAAAAAAAAAAGAGAGAAAAAATTGAGGAAAATGTATTAAGAGAGACAAAATGGAGGATATGTCTTGGCTGACAAGTACATCATCCATCTTGCGTTTGATTGGAGCATGATCAAATAAAAAACAAAAAAATATATAGTTATTAATCTGGAACTTATTCTGACAGCAAAATGACTGCATTCTCTTGATCTTAACCAAATTCTTCTTGCTGATAAGAAAAGTTTTCAATTTGCAATTCTTTATTGAACTTTAAAAAAAAAAACTGAATTAACTTGGAAAGAATTCCAAAACCAAATTTTATTTTAATGTCCTCGCTCGATCTACGTGCTATATTTAGACCATGATCTATCTTTAATGTTTTGTAAATGTATTTTACCTCTTATCGTCTATAATCACAAGTAGACTTAACTAGAAAAGAGTCGCTCCGCACCTTTACCACTCCATATATCTCGCTCTTCTTTTTTCTAGATAGTGCCAGGGATTTTTTATACATATATATATATAAATTGATAATTAATTCTAGTAATAATAAATAAACTAAGACGTATTTTAAGCCGGGAGAGGATATACAAAGTATTAAAATTTAATACCATCTACGCTATAAACGACGATAAAAAATCACTCCGAACCATAAAAATTGATCCTGAACACGATCTTAACGTCTTCTTCCTACGTTTTTTGAATTTCCTACCTGTAACGGCAAGGTTGCAAATTTATAAACTTTACTGATATAGCTAATAAAGATATATATTCTCTCTACAGAAAAAAAAATAAATATATATATATATATATATAAATAAATAAAGAAATATAACCCTATAAAACTAAATTTATATATTTTTATACGTTCGTACTAGTTATTTATTATTTTATTTATTTATTTTTAATACTTTAGCGGTATTGGAAGATATAAGAAGTCGCGAAGTTTTGCAGCGATTTCATATTTTCTTGGATTTCTTTATCATAACCCCTACACATTGGTTTCCGATAAGAACTATTTGGTTTGTGGTTTCCTTTTTTTTTCTATTCATGATAGACCAAAGACCTTTCTATCAGGTCCTATCAGGGTCCTGGGAATATAGTTATTCGCTTGAAATCCTGGAAAGATATAGTCAGTTTGGCTGAAAAATGGAACTTTTGATTTATATGCAAACTGAACTTTTGAGTTTTTGCATGAATCACCTTTTTTTTCATGTGGAAGCTTTCATCATACAAACATCGAAAAGAGAAACTTAACTGATTTATATATATATATATATAAATGGACATGTATGTCCCTATATTTCACTTTTTCGCCAAAACTACACATCGTACGTGAATGGTGTTTGTATGCCTCCTCTTA